AGGTCACGTAGAACCGAGATTTGGGAGGTAGGGCCTTCAAACCACCCCTCATAGTAGAGGTACGTAGTTTTATTTCCCGGGCTGTACCAAGGGTATCTTGGCCACACTCGCTTCTACGGGTATTCATGGGGGCCCCAGTCCTCTCTGTGAGCGGGCAATTCTGTATCGATTAGCCACATTCGTTTTGTGCCTCCTATCAACGAGACGCAGAATTTTACCCCCAAACGCCGTTTGTTTATAAATCCTCTTTACCTTCCCCTTTTTGGATGGACCCCCCTTTAAACCTGACTCATTGACTTCTTGAGCTATTTACCCACAAATCTGATGATAACCCTTTTGCACCCCCTCACCTTTTAGCAGTCTTTGCGCCCAAACCCCCCCCCATCCACTCTCTGCTGTTATCCGTAACCTATTACTCATCCACCTCCCTTTTGCCACCTGATGCCCTCGCTTCCTTCCTGCCCTGCAGCGCTGTATAGCCCTTGTGGCTTAGCGTTTCTTTTTGATTATAATAATAATTGGAAACAGGATAGTTGATGAGTGGCACAGACTGCCTAGTAGAGTGATAGAAGCTGAGACTTGGGTAGTTTCAAGTTTAGGTTGGATAAATACATGAGTGAGAGGGGTTGGATTTGCGTGGAGCTTGCACATGAGCTAATAGATTCATCAGAAATGTAGATGAATGGTTCAGAGAACCGATAAGTTGATAAATCAGACACAAGTGCAACACCTGGGTATCTTTAATGAGGAAACGTTTCACCACACAGTGGCTTCATCAGTCCATATGCAGGAGAACGGTGAAAAACGGGAGTTTGAGGTAATCAGTCCTTCAGCCTCGAGTCCATCAGTCCATCAGTCTTGAAAAGAATACAGTATATGTGCGAAGTAGCTTATATACTGTAGGCAGGAGAGATGCAACAGTCATAGGTGGTATCACATTTGTCAAATGTGGAAGTAGGTCGTGCCCAAGGGTTAGGCAAGTGAAGGATTCCCGGTACCATTATACTGCTCTGCATAACGAGCGGCTTTCTATATAGTGGTATGTTATTTATGTCCGCTAGGCGTGCAGTAGTAGTAGTAAATAAAGATATTATTATTATTATGAATGTGTTTTGTCATATGCTGTAAGGTTTGCATTGAGGTGTGTTTGGAAAATTGGATGTTTGGACACTGAGTTGTAATGTTCCTGTGTATGGCCTTGTAGCTGTACACACTGTATTTTATGTCATTAACATCTCCATAAAACCATACTGCGAGAGATATTTATAGGAGGAAACGTATATTATAAATTCCCGTCCAGATTCTGGCAACTACCCCAGATTCCGGAAGTGTGCTCAATTATGCATAACTTTGTACGAATGGTATATAATACCGACAAATGGAGAAGACACATGTGCAACATGGGTATCTTTTGATGACGTTTCGCCATCCAGTGGCTTTATCAATACACTATATCTAGGACATAACTTGTGTAAAGAAAGAGTAAAACAATATAATATGACATTTTTGTGGCATACGTTTCGCTCTCCAGAGCTTTTATCAAGCTTTTAAACACTACATGGACTCCGGGTATATAAAAGCTCAGGAGGTGAATTATTAGTGAGTAACCATCAAAAGTACTCATAATTTACTCACCGACCTTTATATACCCTCTGTCCATGTATTGGTTTAATGCTTGATAAAGCTCCTGGGAAGAGCGAAATTTCCACAATAAATGTACATTAGTTACTTGTATTAATTAAAATGTGCTGTTCTACAATTTTTACAGGACATAACTTGAAGAAAGTAGAAACTATGACAGAAGATGAGTAACAGTCCCTCAGACCTAGGAGTAGGTGCGAACAACACCATAGTCGTGGAGATTCTGAAGAAAGAAAGAACCTGGCGCTTAATAGTAACGTCAGGTGAGCAGACGAGGGCATATTCCTGGTAGGCGGGATTCCCCAGTGGAAGTAGGTCCTTCCCAAAGAGATGGGTTAGTTGTAGTAGTAGATGTCGTAGCTGTGAAGGTTATGTACATGTCCAGAATTAAGATTCCATGATGTTGCAGTGTCGACAATTGTGTACGAATGGTAATACAAATACCGTAGACAGATGAGAGAAGACACATGTGCAAATCTGGTATCTTTATTGGAGACGTTTCCATCCTGTGGGAAGACCTACATCCACTGGGAATTGTAAGTAAGTAAGTAAGTAGTAATAAATTTTATTCGTATACACAATACAGTTAGCATAAATTATCATACTGGCACATATTGTAGAGACCCCATTTAACCCAAAAAAGTCAGACAGAGTGACTTATTTCCGCTACCAGTGAAATTGCCCTCGTGGGTGTGGTGTAGTTGTGTCGTTGGACATAAGCAAGGGAACAAATTTTTCTCAAACCCGGACCTTGTTTCTTACCTGCCACTGGGACATTAAGAGGTCGCCATTTAAATCCCATTTCTCCGCTCGGCAGGTATTATTTCACGTTTAGTGAATTGGGTTTCTGCTCGGGTGAGAGGTGTAGGTGTCCTGCTCTGCCTGGGCTTAAGGTACATAAGTAGATGCAGTAAGTTTATTCAGGAACACAAATACAGTACTAGAATAATCATAAAATGAGCATATGTTAAGAACCTAAGGATAGCCCAAAAAGTCAAAGGGGGTTTTATTTCCATGGGGAGATATCCATTTGACTAATTGGAAGTCTCCATTTCTGTTTCTGTTGAGTTCAATGTTACCCCTGTTCAAATTTTTTTTTTTTGAAGCCCCAAAACTTGAGCAATATTTTTTTCCCCGAACTCAGGCAAAACCTAAAAGGGCCCCAGGGAAAAAATCAAAATCTTAATGGAAATAAAAAGGGACCCCAAGGGAAAAAAAACCACTTTGTTTTTTTGGGGGTTTATCCTAGATAATTTCCACTAATAGATAATTTTAGTGTGTACTTGTGCTTAAATAAACTACCTTACAGACGGGTGATTTTGGGCTTGACCCCTTTCAACCCCCCAGAACACAAAAACATGTCTTAAATAAAAACGCTGGTTGCTGCCCTTTTTTAAGAAGAAGAAAAAAGAAATGGTTTAGAAGAGTTCCCCGAGGCAAGATAAAGATGAACCAAATTTGGAAAAGCTTTTGTGACTAGTTATAATTCTAATGCGTGAAGCATTTAAGTTTAAAAGTTAGAGATTTGTCTGGGGAAGTCCCATCCAAATAAAAATTTTTTTCTTTGTAAAAGTTACAAATTGATTTAAACTTTTTAAAGTGTGTTACGTGAAAAGAAAGTCCCTAATTGTGGTGCTTTTGGGCAGACTAATTAATGCTTACCATATTAAAATTAACCTACTTATGAGTGGAAATTTAAATTATTCATTTTTTTACCTTATTTTGCTTTTTGATTTTGTTCAACTTTTAATTTCCGGAGGTTAACCCCCAGGAAACCCGGGAAAAGGCGTGTATATCGGGGGGACTGACGCCCTTCTTTTTCATTGGGGTCCTCAATCTTGTCCCCCAGGATGAACCCACCCCATCAAACACCCAGGTACCTACTTGCTAGGGAACCAGACAAAAGGTGTAAGAAACTTGTCGAAATGTTTTTCCCCCCTGCCGGAATCGAACCTTGGCCCCAGGTGGAAGTGAGAGTTTTTTCCAGCCAGGCCACGGGGGCCCCGGTACTAAAAATGATTGTAAACTTTTTGTTTTTTATGGGAAAAAAATAAATTTCACCCCTTACCAGATCAACAGCTTAGGATTTCTTTAAAATACGCGTTTTTCACACAAAATTTAGGCTTCTTTAGGTTCAGCTAATTTTGTAATACTTTATAATTGTGCCAGTTTGTAGAAATAAAGTATTATTATTGTTAATTATTTATTAAATTTTTATATTTTTATTCATGGGAGAAATCTTGGCCAAAAAGCAGTATATAAAATATATACAACTTTTTTCTTTTTCTGCAGTATACAAAATGTAGTTTACATTAAAAAAATATTAAGAAAAAAGAAAGTTTTTTGCATTATGCATTTCGGGGAACTAATGAAATGTCATTTTTTCCGATATTTTTTTTTTGGGGTCCTAGGAATTTGAATGTGCAGATAACTGGTTCGAGAACACCCCTGCAAGCAGTGATGGGTGAGTGATGATGAAGGTTTCTTTTTTGGGGGCACCCCTCCCCGGGGGAAAGGCCATTGTGTTAGTACAAAAAAAGATGAATGTTGCACTAAAATTGCCCCCAATTACCCCCCTTTAAAAAAAAAAAAAAAACCAAAACACTCCTAAATAGACCATTAGAAATAACTACTGGGACGTGTATTTTTAAAATGTTGTAAGGAAAAAAATTGCTCACACTCCAACAGAACACCTTTAAAAACCCCCTTGTTTTTTCCTTCGTTTCAAAACTTAAAAAGCTTGGCAGGTGCTAACCTCTTAAAACTTGGTTTTTTTTTTTTTTTGGGATTTTTTTTTTTATCCTTATTTTTTGTTCCTTATACAGGTCTAAGGAATTTTATTTGTATAAATTTATGTCCCCGCTAGTCATGTTTTATTGGTATTTTTAGTTAAATTTGCAAAGGCAGGCCTTTTAAGAATGCAGAGTTGAAGGGAAATTACATCAGAAAGCCCCGAAGATTGTCGTCAACAAAAGGGGAGTCCTTACATTAGAAACTGGGGATTAGACTAGCTGGAAAGGACTTTGGGAACAGAAGCCATCAAAAATTTTAAGAAGCAGTATGTTTTTCTTTGGGATACAAATAAAGCTACAGGTTTTCATTTTTTTGTAGTTGGGTAGTAATGAAATTATTAAAGGAAACAGCAGTTTTTGCTTTATTGGGTAAAAAAAAAAATTTTTTGTATCAGAAATATGAAAGTAGCCAAATAATAGTGTTTTGTGCAATTTGTGAATTGGGCTGATTGGGGTAATGGGCTTGATATTAATTAATATTAATGTTTTCCCAGGAAAAATGAGACTTGTAGAAACAAGCTCATTTTGTGTTAGCCCACTGTTAAAACCATTGAAACTACCATGTTCGTTTATCTAAAACCTTAAACTCAATGACTAATGAAGAGAAGCAAGAAGCGGCTGCCTCTGCATTTGGAACTAAAAGAGCACAGCAATATATCAACCGCAAGAAGCAATATAAAGTGAGTCTGGGTTTGCTTTAAGAATGGAGGTTAATAATAAAATTTATTAAAAAAACTAATTTATTTCAAAGGAGGCTTAAAAAAAAGCCTATGTCCAAAATTTCTGGCAGAGTAGTTACTAATTACATGAACAGAAAGTTAAAAGTTATTATTGATCATTAAGTTTGGAGCAGTACATTCAGTATTTTATTTTTATGGTTAACTTTGTTTTAGTAGTCGAGTGAAATTTAGTTTTTACTGACTTCTTTTAATACTAATGGTCAGCATGCTTACTTTACTGGCTCTTCTCTTCCACCTTTGCTGCAGACACACTCTTGGATTTCTTAACTGAAACTGGTTTCATCAACTATGGGCTCCATGTTTTCAGTTGTTCTTCCCTAAACGCCTCCACCAGTCATCCTCCCCTTCATCTCTTTTTCCCTGTCATGCACCACTGAATGACCCCTTATGGGTATTGTTTTTTCCATGAATAACATAATTCCTAATTCTAACTTGATAACTAATCTTATAGATAATACCAGTAATGATAGTTATTGTTGGTCAACAATTTAGTATAGTACTTTCTGTATAACTAGGTGAGGTTTCACTGTTTAACATTTATAGCATAAAAGAGAAGTTGCAAAGGATGGTGATGAATTTGGGAGGGTATGTAAAAGATGGAAATGAAAAGTGAATATAGGAAAGAGCAAGGGGATGAGGGTAACAAAAAATTTAGGTAATTAAAGATTAGATATCTGATTGGAAGGAGGGAGTGTAGAGGAAGTGAATGTGTTCAGATATTTGGGAGTATGTTTAATTTCCTTCTTTTACATACCCTGGAGTTTACCTGGAGAGGGTTTCAGGGGTCAACGCCCCCGTAGCTCAATCTGAGACCAGGCTACGTGGTGGATCAGGGTCTGATCAACCATTTGTAACTTCTCTTCAGAATATCTCAAAAGATTTTTTTGTTTACTGTATATTTAATATTATTGGTAGATGTCATTGTCTGAAGAGTATAGTATGTTCATTGATTCTGTAATTTTAATGTAAGTGTATTCATATATTGTGTTTTCACAGGAGATTACACAAAACATGTCTGAAGCAATTGGTCAGGCTGCAACATCTGCCATTTTGAAACTTAGTGAGTTTGAAGAAAAAAGGGCAGAGACTACATTTTTATCTATTTTACCAGAATGTAATAGAGAGGTAAGTAAAGAGTAAACTAAAGTACTTACAGATGACCCTTGAACAACATGTGCTTGAACTGTATTTTCTCTTCCTTATGATTTTTTAGTGTAAGAATACAGTATGTAATACACATAACATACAAAATGTGTTAATTGACTGTTTATCAGTAAGGCTTCTGGTCAGCAGTAAGCTATTAGTAGTTAAGTTTTTGGAGAGTCAAAAATTATGAATGTTGCAACGAGGAGGACGCTGGAGGCAATGGAGATGTCATGTCTGAGGGCAATGTGTGGTGTGAATATAATGCAGAGAATTCATAGTTTGGAAATTAGGAGGTGTGGGATTACCAAAACTATTATCCAGAGGGTTGAGGGGTTGTTGAGGTGGTTCGGACACGTAGAGAGAATGGAACAAAACAGAATGATTTCGAGAGTGTATAAATCTGTAGTGGAGGGAAGGCGGGGTAGGGATCAGCCTTGGAAGGGTTGGAGGGACGGGGAAAAGGAGGTTTTTTGTGCGAGGGGCTTGGACTTCCAGCAAGCATGCATGAGTGTATTTGATGGGCGTGAATGGAGACAAATGGTTTTCAATACTTGACATGCTGTTGGAGTGTGAGCAAAGTAACATTTATGAAGGGATTCAGGGAAACCAGCAGGCCGGACTTGAGTCCTGAAGATGGGAAGTACAGTGTCTGCACTCTGAAGGAGGGGTGTTAATGTTGCAGTTTTATAACTGTAGTGTAAAGCACCCTTCTGGCAAGAGAATGATGGAGTGAATGATGATGAAAGTTTTTCTTTTTTGGGCCACCCTGCCTTGGTGGTAATCAGCTGATGTGTTAAAAAAAAAAATTTATATGCGGATTTTTGACTGCTCGGGGAATCGGTACCCCTAATTCCCCCCATTGTTCAAGGTCAGCTGTATATTGTATATTTATGATATTCATCTCTCTTAACCCTTTCACTGTCGATACCCTCCAAATTGAAAGCCTTTTCTGTCATCATTTATGAAAATTAATAAATAATTTTATATTCTAAAATGGTAAAGAATCTTTTCCTAAAGATAATGAAACCAAAAATGCAAAATTTAATGTGCGGTAATACTTAAGGATTTACGCATGCATGAAGATGGAGGTCAGAGAGCACTATATGCAACAGTGATTTCACCCATTTTGAGTCCTATTAATATTAGGTCAATTGTAGAACTCAAACTGACCCAATTCCCAACTATTTAACTTTGTATTATCAATTGATTACAAGCAACTACCCATTCAGTCATCAAAATTACTCTGTTCTGTGCCTAGAATTCTGTAATTTGGCCAATTTTACACCAATGCATTTTTAACAAATTCTAGTTTAATATGAAGTTCCAAACAATGTAGGCATTCTAGCCACTAAGCAGCCTTCTCTCTGTTCATTAGTCACGTCCCCAGGCCTTTCATATATGTAACAGTAACAGTTTCTCCTTCCATTTTGCTTCCTTCATCTTGCAAACTTTGGACATTTTTTTCCTATTTCTTGGATAATAAAATATAACCAAAAATGCTTGTTCATGGTTTAGGCTGTCCTAATGGTTAAAGCAGACCTATTAAAAAGCCATAAAACAGACTGTTGGAGGGACGGAGACTACCCTTCACCAGGATAATTACCAAAAATTGACCATTTCTGCCACTTTGGTCTATTTCAGACCACTTTGTATGAAACTGACCAAAATCTTAGATTTTCAAGTTACGTTCCATCAGATGAACCCAACATCAAAATGCCTCTGGCCATAATCGAGCTGAACTTTGCCTTCCATTTAAATAAACTCGTTAAAAAAAATGCTTTATTGGAGGGCAAAGATAATAATAATAGTAATATATCAAAGATAATGTGTGTAACAAGACATGAATACAAAAAAACAGAAATGGTTACTTGTCTCAAAAACTGCTGCCTTTATTTCATTTTGTTGAAATGTTAATCTGTCATTTTTGGTACCTTTGCTACAGGCAAGTCAGCTAGAGGATGTATACAGTTTAGAGGCTATTGCTCCTGACAACTTCTTGCTGCACTTGGCAGCATTTGCAAGAGGGATTTTAGAAGGAAAGGATCCACAGCCTAAGTAAGTGGTTTAAGGGATTTGAATGGTTGTAATTGGGTATGAATTATTTTCTGTATTCCTTAATCCTTTTAGTGAGGTTCTTTTGAAATAATTTTAGAATTGTATCAATAATAATAATTTTTATTTTAGCATGATACATGTTTGTACAAAGGAGTATAACAGTTGAGTGTATATGTCAAAAGGCCCTTTATATGCAGAGCATTTCAGGCAAACTTAAGATTAATAAGGCAATAACAGTGCAAAATTGTACATCTGGCCATTAGGCAAGTTACAGTGAATACAAGAAAATTTATTATTATATTAGTTCATGCTATATGGCTTTAATAAGTTTGGTAGAGAAGAATTACAGTTTTGATTATTAACCTAAGGTAGACACAATGGAATAATTAACATTACATTTGAGATGATTACAAATATTGAGAATAAGCATATATTGATTATAATGATTTACCTATGTTCATGATATTGAGCAAATGCACATATAGGTTTTTTACATATTTATTTGATGGGCTAGGATGGATTAAGGACAAAAGGTGTTTTCTAACTGTAGTTTTAAAAATGCTTGCCGAGTCAGTGGTTCTAGAGATTTCTGGCAGTGTTTTCCAGATTTTGGGTCCTTTGATGTACATTGTCTAGTATTGTGTCCATGGGTCCTATTGCAACTGTCAAGAATGCACTTCAGGTCAGGATTTATATTAGAATTGACTGTTCTGTAAATGTAGTTTGCACAGTAGTATGAGTGGATGTTTTGTAAAGTGAGTAGGTTTAGGTCTTTGAAAAAGGGGGTGGGGGTGTTGTCTAACTGTGGATTGTGTGATCATTCACACTGCAGGTTTTTGTTGGGTTAGTATTATCTTTAGCTGATTTGTCGTTGTGGAGCCCAACACACAAATTGCATAAGTGAGGAAGGGGTAGATCAGTGAAAAGTAGTGTAAGTAGTGCTGTTTGTAGTACATAGTAGCTTATCTTTAAAAGGATGCCAGCTGTTTTGGATACTTTTTTTTGTTATGTGTTAGATATGGGTGTTGAATTTCAGGTTGCTGTCATGGTGTAGACCCAGGAATTTTCCCTCATTATGTTTAGCAATAAGGATGTTGTTAAGCATAATGTTTAATTGGCCTCACTTGCTCTACTCCCAAACATAATGTAAAAGGTTTTGTCTGTATTCAGTGTAACTTTATTGACAGTTATCCAAGTTGCTATTTTTGCGAGCTCTTCATTAACAGTAATATTGAGTGAGGCTAGATTAGTGTGAGAAATGATAAAAGTCGTGTTGTCAGCAAAGAGAATAGGTTTACCTGGAGAGGGTTTCAGGAGTCAGTGCCCCAGTGGCTCGATCTGAGACCAGGCCTCATGGTGGATCAGGGTCTGATCAACCAGGCTGTTACTGCTGGTCACACGCAAGCTGACGTACGAACCACAGCCCGGTTGGTCAGGTGCTGACTTTAGGTGCATGACCAGTGGCTTCTTAAAGACAGCCAGGGGTTTATTGGTAATTCCCCTTATGTATGCACAATAAGTGCCCCAGGCACTTATTGTGTTCTCTCACTGTACTCGTGGCACCCCTGCTTTTCATCAGGGAAATGTTGTATCTCCTGCTGAGTCTTTGGCTTTCACAGGGAGTGATTTTTGTGTGCAGGTTTGGTACCTGGCCCTAAGCGAAACAAAGCTGAAGGGGGTAGGGGAGTTTCGGTGGGGGGAAATAAATGGGATTAAATCTGGAGTATCTGAGAGAGTTAGAGCAAAGGAAGGGGTAGCAGTAATGTTGAAGGATCAGTTATGGAAGGAGAAAACAGAATATGAATGTGTAAATTCAAGAATTATGTGGATTAAAGTAAAGGTTGGATGCGAAAAGTGGGTCATAATAAGCGTGTATGCACCTGGAGAAGAGAGAAATGTAGAGGAGAGAGAGAGAGAGATTTTGGGAGATGTTAAGCGAATGTATAGGAACTTTTGAACTGAGTGAGAGAGTAATTGTGGTAAGGGACCTAAATGCTAAAGTAGGAGAAATTTTTAGAGAGGGTGTGGTAGGTAAGTTTGGGGTGCCAGGTGTAAATGATAATGGGAGCCCTTTGATTGAACTTTGTATAGAAAGGGGTTTAGTTATAGGTAATACATATTTTAAGAAAAAGGATAAATAAGTATACAAGATATGATGTAGGGCAAAATGACAGTAGTTTGTTGGGTTATGTATTGGTAGATAAAAGACTGTTGAGTAGACTTCAGGATGTACATGTTTATAAGGGGCCACAGATATATCAGATCACTTTCTAGTTGTAGCTACACCGAGAGTAAAAGGTAGATGGGATACAAGGAGAATAGAAGCATCAGGGAAGAGAGAGGTGAAGGTTTATAACTAAAAGAGGAGGCATTAGGGTAAGATATAAACACTATTGGAGGATAGATGGGCTAATGAGAGCATGGGAAAATTTGGGTCGAAGAGGTATGGGGTAGGTTTAAAATGTGTGTTAGTGTTCAGCAGAAGTTTGTGGTTACAGGAAAGTGGGTGCGGGAGGGAAGAGGAGCGATTGGTGAATGATGATGTAAAGAGAGTATAAGGGAGAAAAAGTTAGCATATGAGAAGTTTTTACAAGTAGAAGTGATGCAAGGAGGGAAGAGTATTGAGAAAAAAGAGAGAGGTTATGAGAGTGGTGAAGCAATGTAAAAAAGAGAGCAAATGTGAGAGTGGGTGAGATGTTATCAACAATTTTTTGAAAATAAGAAAAGTTTTGGAGTCGAGATTACAAGTTAAGGGCCTAGAGAACAAATGGATTTGTCAGTTAAAATGGAGCGAGAGTTATTAAATGGAGTGTTAGACGGTATTAAGGAAGATGGAGGGAATATTTTGAGGAATTGTTAAATGTTGGATGAAGATAGGGAAGCTGTTGATTTCGTGTATAGAGGCAAGGAGAATAACATCTTGTAGGAGTGAGGAAGAGCCAGTTGTGAGTGTGGGGGAAGTTCGTGAGGCAGTAGGTAAATGAAAGGGGGTAAGGCAGCGGGATTTGATGGGATAAAGATAGAAAATGTTAAAAGCAGTGTGGGGGATATAGTTTTGAGTGGATGTGCCCAATTATTTATTAAATGTATGGAAGAGGGTAAGGTACCTAGGGATTCGGCAGAGAGCATGACATAGTTCCTTTGTATAAAGGCCAAGGGGACAAAAGAGAGTGCAAAAAATTATAGGAGGGAGAAGTCTGTGATTATACCTGGTAAAGTGTATGATAGAGTTATTATTGAAAGAATTATGAGTAAGACAGAGATGGATAGCCAGATGACAAGGAAGCTTAGGAAAGGTAGGGGGTGTGTGGACCAGGTGTTTACAGTGAACATATAAGTGAACAGTATTTAGATAAGGTCTAAAGAGGTCCTTTGTGGCATTTAGGATTTGGAAAAGGTGTATGACAGGGTGGTTAGGGGGGAAAAGTGGCAGATGTTGCAGGGTGTGGTGTAGGAGGTAGAGTTACTGAAGCAGTGAAGAGTTTTTACGAGGATAGTGAGGCTCAGTTATTGTTATTATGTAGGAAAGAGGGAAGAATTATTTCCAGTAAAAGTAGGGCCTTAGACAAGGATGTGTGATGTCACCGTGTTGTTTAATATATTTATAGATGGGGTTGCTAAGCGGAAGTAAATGCGAGGGTCTTGGCAGAGGCGTGGAGTGAAAAGATAAGTATCACACATAAACTGGGAGTTGTCACAGTTGGCTCTTTGCTGATGGACACTGTGCTCTGGGGAGATATCTGAGAGAAAGTTGCAGAGATTGGTGGATGAATTTGGTAGGATGTGCAAAAGAAGAAAAATTAAGTGAATACAGGAAAGAGTAAGGTTATGAGGATAACAAAAGATTAGGTGATGAAAGATTGGCTAATCAGATTGGAAGAGAGAGTATGGAGGAGGTCGATGTCTTCAGATATTTGGAGTGGAGTGCTCAGAGGATGGGTCTATGAAAGATGAGGTGAATCATAGAATTGATGAGGGGAAAAGTGTGAATGGTGCCTTAGGAGTCTGTGGAGACAAAGAACTTTGTCTTGGAGGCAATGAGGGCATGTATGAGAGTTTGTTTTACGAACGCTCTTATATGGGTGTGAAGCATGGGTGATGAATGTTGCAGCGAGAAGCTGGAGGCAGTGGAGATGTCATGTCTGAGAGCAATGTGTGGTGTGAATATAATGCAGAGAATTCGTAGTTGGAAGTTAGGAGGAGGTGCGGGATTACCAAAACTGTTGTCCAGAGGGCTGAGGAGGGTTGTTGAGGTGGTTCGGACATGTAGAGAGAATGGAGCGAAACAGAATGACTTCGAGTGTATCAGTCTGTAGTGGAAGGAAGGCGGGGTAGGGGTCTGCCTAGGAAAGGTTGGAGGGAGGGGGTAAAGGAGGTTTTGTGTGCGAGGGGCTTGGACTTCCAGCAGGCATGCGTGAGCGTGTTTGATAGGAGTGAATGGAGACAAATGGTTTTTAATACTTGACGTGCTGTTGGAGTGTGAGCAAAGTAACATTTATGAAGGGGTTCAGGGAAACCGGCAGGCCGGACTTGAGTCCTGGAGATGGGAAGTACAGTGCCTGCACTCTGAAGGAGGGGTGTTAATATTGCAGTTTAAAAACTGTAGTGTAAAGCACCCGTCTGGCAAGACAGTGATGGAGTGAATGATGGTGAAAGTCTTTCTTTTTCGGGCCACCCTGCCTTGGTGGGAATCAGCCAGTGTGGTGATAAAAAAAATAATAAAATACAGTGGACCCCGGTTAACGATATTTTTTCACTCCAGAAGTATGTTCAGGTGCCATGTACTGACCGAATTTGTTCCCTTAAGGAATATTGTGAAGTAGATTAGTCCATTTCAGACCCCCAAACATCACGTACAAACGCACTTACATAATTGGTCGCATTTGGAGGTGATCGTTATGCGGGGGTCCACTGTAGTTTGGTACCAATCCCTCCAGGACCTTCCAAGTGTAAATTATCATGTATTCCTCTCGCCTGCGTTCCAGGGAATACCAGAATCA